GATATAACAACATCAACGGCGTCAAATTTCAAAATTAGCTTGCTTTGTGCAAGACACAAACCGAATTATTGGATCTTTAGGGTTCGTAAGTGCATCCATGAGGGATTCATTCAATTGCGGAAGGTCAGACTTTGTATCAAAGAATTTTTGCTGGTTATTAAGTTGACGAGGTCGTGACGCGGAGACGACCTGAATCCAGACTCACATAAGGCTGTCAATTTTTTCTGCCTTTCGGTTCAGGTTATAATTATATTCAATCCCAACTTTTCAGATGCAATCTACGAAACTTCCATCACACATTTGGGATGAGGTGAACAGATTGATTAGAGGTTTTGTTTGGGAACAACCAAGGATAGAAAAAGAATCCAATTAATCAATTGGAATAAGGTATGTGACAGCAAGGAGAATGGGGGTCTGGGGACTGAGGAAAGCAAGGTAAAATAATGCGACTTTCCTAATGAAGCTGGGATGGGACATAATATATAAGGAAAATGAGACATGGGTGAAAGTTTTGAAAAGAAAGTATTGCAGTAAAACAGAAGGAGGGATGCATTTCGAGAAGAAATCAAAATCAAGCCCTGACATAGAAGGGAATATGTGAAGTTGGACACTTACTAGAAAAAGGGACAGTTTGGTCTGTAGGCGACGGAAGCAGAGTGAGGCTTTTGGTTAGACACTTGGGTGGAAGACGTGCCAAGATTGTTGGAAGACTCACGAGAAATGACCCTTACTGTACGTCATTTTGCTTGTCTGTATATTAAGTTTTGGTTTACGTTGCAGTTCAATTTTTGCAAGTGTTTATTTATATGTAATGTTGTGCTTGGATCAATAGTTGTTACCCTTCCTACTCGCTACAGGTAGGTTTTGTGTTTGCTGGTTAGAACAAAATGAAATTTAGAGATTCATTTGGTTGTGCGTTGCGAAGTTGATATCAGTAGATGAGGTCATTGGTAAGTGCAGCCACGGTCTTATGTTCCTGATGTTTAGTAAAGCAAGTTTAGCAGAATCAAGGCTTAATCTGAAAAAAGCAATAATCGGTTCCGGTTTGACTAACTACAGGCCCTTCATTTACCGAGCATGAGGATATCCCAGCATTTGCATACCAGCTGTGAAGAAGCAGCAGAAATTTAGCAAGAATCAGTCAACTATCAAAGCCCATAAATTGAGATTCATAGCTGGAAATCTTCATATCATTGCAAAGTTAGAATAATATTGTACCACTTCAGTTTAAAAATCAAAAATTAATTATGACTGGAACAAGATGAATAGCCCTCATATATAGAGGCTGAACAACTGATATTTGGAACCACGGAGAACCATTTGCTCAGTTGCATTGCTCAAGCCAGGGAGCATAGAATCGTTCTGAAGATGTGGTTTCTGCACAAACTAGACAAATAGAGGTCAAGTAGTTTTGCATGAATTGGTTACATTGAACTATTACTATTTTATGGTTGTGATAATATAAATCTCAAAATTTGACGTGGAATTTTTCTAATTTGTTGTATAGCATCTAGGGATGGGAAAATACTTAAATACACTTTGAAAATATGAACCAAATAACCATCTCCACATCCTAGAATCATGTAGTAAAATTCTACTTTCTGGATTTCTCGCAAATTTTTTACAACTTTCGAATATACTGTTTAAATAATTGTGTTACACTTCCACCTTTTTACAAAAGCTACTAAACACTATGCTAATGTACGTTCTCAAAAATAAACAGAAATCAATAGTTAAACTTTCTAAACAAATATTAGATATACAAATGATTTTAATTGTAACAAATTTTCTTGGACTTAAATTAATAGGAGCACTGGACGCGGATAGTCCTAGTAGAATTAAATTAGTAGAGTAAAATACAATTACTAATTTAATTTTTCCATTTTTTTTCAATTTATTTATGTATTTTTTTCAAGAATTCATTTTTCACATTTGTATGTCTTAAAAAAATAATAAAAATAGTCCATTTAGTTAATTCAACAGAAATAATATTTGTTTGGGAAAAAAGAAAAATACTCGAATTGAACACTGTATGAGTGAAAAATACGGATTACTGTGAAACATCCTGAAGGCCTGATTGTGTAAAATTCTAACAGCTTCAGCTTATTGCGAAATTGGATTCTTCTCACAAAGACATGCTAAACAAGTTTCAATGAACTCATCAGTCATCCCACTCACGCTATCTATGTTTGGAACAATATGGCAATCCCGTGATCGAGCTAACCGGTGAACCCTGTAACGAGTAAATAACAATAAGATGGTTTATGGTTTAGGATTTAGAGTTTTTAAAATAGGACAAAATCCTCTGTGCCATTTCATTCTCAAGAAAGGTCGGAGGAAGGTGGAGTAGGGAGTTTCAATTTATTGAACTATGGTTTGTATACGGCGTATGTTACTTGTTATTTCAATAGGCTGAATTAACAAACTTATTGACTAGCATATAATGATTTGTGATTAACTCAAATATTAGACATTTGTCTAGAGTCATATTCTATGAACCTGATCAAATGTTCTTAATTAGAATCTGGCTCTAGATACCAATGTTTTTTACGGAATTGTAATTTATTCAATACTAAATTGAGCTTTTACTCAATTTTTTTCATGGAATTGTTATTTATTCTCGATTGTATTTTACTAGGTTTTTAAGTAATAAAAACAAAATGATGAATTCAGCAAGTATTCTCGTATGGAGTACTAAATTTTTTTTTGGAAAAAATGTCGTTCTTATTCAAAGTTTTGCCCTCGTCGTCAATCATACCCAATAGATTTTCGGTTAGCCAACTTTACCCTAATGTTTGAAATTTTCGCCAATTTCGTCCAATCAGCCCATTTTCCATCCAAATTAACGAATCTCCGTTATTTTTTAATAAAATAATAAATTTAATTACAAAAACACGTCAGTAATTTTTAAAAATTTTAAAAATAACCCCTAAAATATATAAAAATTACAAAATAGTCCCTTTTCACTTTTTTTTTATTTTATTTTTCTCTATTTTGTTCCATTTCTCTCAAACTACTTTTAATGACCATAAAAGTCTATTATATGAGTTTTAAAAAAAATATTTATTTATTTTCAAACTCTACCGTAAAAATTAATTTTTATATAGGTGTAACCCATGACTGTATTTATATAAGCATGTTATTTTTTTTAATAATATAGTTTAACAATAAAGACACTATTTTTCTGATTTATTTTATTCTTCCTAATATAAGGATTAAAAACATTTAAATGAAACTAATATTCCACATAAAAATAAAATATTAGCTCAAATAAAAAAATTAAATTTTACTATATTACAATTTAACTCAAGAGACTATAAATTGCATTAATATTTTAGTGTATTAATATTTTTTTATAAATTGTATAATAAATATTAACTGTGGACATTCAATCAAATCAAATATTTCATAACATAATCAATATTATAATTTATAAATTGTATTACTATCTTTAGTACTCCCTCCATTTCTTAATATAAGGCATTTTGATTTCGTCCTAGGTGTGCATTTGTAATTGAAAGAAGAAACTTAAAAATATTTTTTCACATTCGTTGTGTTCTCTTGATTGTCAAAAAATATTTTTAAGGTTTTTTGTCAATAAAAAATATATACCAGGTTAAATCTTAAGACAAAATCAAAATGTATTATATTAAGGACATGAGAAAGTAATATTCATCCCAATATATAAAGTGAATTATTTTTTGGAAGACAGAAATGATGTACTAATATAATAATTTGTGACATCAACGTGGCTAAGGCACTAACTAAAAATCCAGAGCTAAGCCGTTCCTTATAAAAATGCACTCCTTCAGATAAATGGAGAGGAGCGGAGCAGTCAAAACATTTTTTGTCAGTGTAAGACACAAATAATTTCATCTCAAAAACGTAATCTTTAATGGAACAAAAAAATCTCATAAACCAACCCTTACTATTGAAAGGAATTAATTCATTTGCAAAATTTGTCTTTCTAAGCATATATCCAAGTAGGAAAAATGGGTCTTTTCATCCTAAAATTTAGGCCACACCATTCAAAACATCCCAAAATTTAAACAACATGCCATTTACATCCCAAACTTTTTAAAAACATGCTACATTGGGATATTCGTTAAATTTTTAACTCCAGTTATTTAATTAGTGGTGGTACTTTATTCTGTTTCCCATCCTCCAATTCTTTTAATCATTTAACACGTTCCCTGACTCCCACCTTATAAGAAAATAGCTAAACCTAATTTGGTCTTCACATCATCTATTCTTCCCTTGCTTAGAAAAAGAAAAAAAAAATCCAAGATTTGTCTTCTAGATTGATAACAATCATGAGAGGTTTTGTGTGTGTCCTAATTAGAAAGTAAGCCCCATTTCATTTACTTTTTTTAAATATGTAGCATCATTGTAAAAATTGGTGTTGTAATTGATGCAGGGGCATGCAATTTTTTTGCTTGGCATGGACCAAATTTACCAAACGCAAGCATGAAACTTTTTTGACTAAAAAAATGGGGGAAAAGAAACTGAATGAAATATCACCGTTAATAACTTGAAAAAATTAACAAATGTCTTAATATTATATATTTTTGAAAAGTTTAGGATGAAAATGGCATGCTTTTAAAATTTGGGATATTTTAGATAGTGTGGCTCAAATCTTGGGATGAAAAGACCTATTCTCCCAATCTAAGTATCTAACACCCACACTCCACATGTGACATGTCTAAAGCAGGTTTACCGTATAATTAGCCAATTTATTCTATTTTATTTTATTTTTTACGGGAACCATGATGTGTGCCATTACGATATTGATAGCCCGAAACCATGATGTGTGCAATTACGATATTGAGGTTTTTTAAAAGTGGATCAGGCAGATGCATCTTCATTGCACCTGATCTTTATGGAGCAAGAAATAGAATTGAAGCATTTGTTTATTCATTTCCTGGTTGACTACATCATTCTCACTATAATAATAGTAATAATAATAATAAGCAAAAAAAAGTGGCAGAAATCTTCAATCTATTTAATTTCAAGGAAATCCATTAAACTTCTCATCCAAACACAAACAGAGAATCCAAATCTGCATTGACAAAATTGATCAAATGGGAGATCAACATCAACCGAAGTTGTTTGGGTATTGGGTAAGTCCATTCAGTGTCAGAGTTGAGATTGCGTTGAAGCTCAAAGGAATTCAATATGAATACTTTGAAGAAGATCTAGCCAAAAAGAGTCCTCTGCTTCTGCAATACAACCCTGTTTACAAAAAAGTCCCTGTCTTGGTTCACAATGGGAAACCCATTGTCGATTCCCTTGTGATATTGGAATACATTGATCAAACTTGGAAAGGTAAATATCCCATCTTGCCTGAGGATCCTTCTGAAAAAGCCATTGCACGTTTCTGGGCTAAGTTTGTTCATGAAAAGGTAACATTCTCTCTTTTTTCTTTTTTTTTTTTTGGTTCGTGAATCATGATCAAGGGTTAATTTGTATTTGTTTTGGTTAATAATGTTTGTTTGTGCAATACAGTGCTCGCCTGCACTATTTAAGACCATTTGGAGTCTGGGAGAGCAATATGAGAAAGATAAGGCAGAAGCTCGGGAGCTGCTGAAAGTGCTTGAGGATGAAATTCAGGGGAAGAAATTCTTCGGGGGAGACAGGATTGGATTGGTGGACATTGTTGCCAACTTCATAGCATTCTTGTACAGGGTTGTGCAGGAAGCTATTGGTCTGGATGTGTTCACAAAAGATGAGTTCCCAAATCTTTGGCGATGGGCTGAAGACTTCGTTAATCATGGCGACATCAGTCAGAATCTGCCTCCCAGGGAGAAGCTAATTGCTAATTTCCCTCCACCTTATCTGGGACAACATCTCGTCGACTTCTTTCATTCTCGTTTGGCATCCTCTGCTTCGGATGGTAATTAAAGCTGCAATATAAACCAGAGAAAGTGAACACACTTTCAACCCATTTGCCAATTTGAAGCATCAAGAAAGAATCAAAGAGTCTTGCAACCAAGTTGACAAAACTAAATTCAGTGTATGAAAATCCCGATGATCAAATCACTGAAATGCAACTTTGTTGATTTTATTTCTCGACTCAGACATCAGGATTAATAAATAAATAAATAAATTCCGATGACCAAGTTGACCAAAAAGTTACTTTGATGCTTATTTTGTTTTTTTTTGTTCGTCGACTTTAGCATCGAGTTAAGAAACCCGACGCCTAATATCGGCAAATCTCAACTTTTTGTTTATTTTCATTCGTCGAATTTATCGTCGAGATAATGAAACCGACGCTTAAGTCGACTGACATTATTTCTTTGTTTATTTTTCGTACGTCGACTTTAGCGTTGAGACGTGAAATCGACCGAAAGTCAATGAACCTCAACTTTTTATTTTAAGTTCGATGAATTTGCATCTAGATAATCAGTTCAACGATGAAGTTACCGAATCTCAATTTTACATTTAATATTTTTCATCAACTTCGGTATTGAGAATCCAATTTAATTTTTATTTTCTTTTATAGGTTTAGGCACCAAGATATAACTAAGTCATCGAAACTAAACTAAAGATTTTAAATTTTCCGTCAACTTATATGCATCGAAATAACAGAGCTTACGACTATGTTGGAAAAAGTAAAATTGATGTTTACTATTGGTGTCAGTTTAAGTATCAAGATAAAATCATAAATAGTCCTTTGACCAGGTCGACAAAACTAAACTTTGGTGCATAAAAACCCTTGATGCCCAACTCTGCGGATCTCAAAATTTGTTTGTTTAAGGTTCATCCACTTTAGCATCGAGCTAATGAACCCGACACCCAAATCAGCGAACCTCAACTTTTTATTTTCTACAAAAATTTTTACCTCCATATTTTGTTTATTTTTTATCATCGAATTTGGAGTTGATCTAACGAACCCGACCCAAAACGTCGACGATTCTGACTTTTTTTTTTATTTTTTATTTCCCGTTCGTCAACCTAGGCATCGTGATAAAGCAATCGACAGAGAAACTCAATGTTTCTCTTTATGTTTGTTTGTCAGACTTTGGAATCCAGATAAAATGTTCAATGACACAGCAGACTTCTTCATATCTTGTTTGGCATCATGTAAGTGATTATAGCATTTTGTAACATTAATTTAAATCAATCGCATCAATAATAAAATTTTCGAAAAATGAGTACTCTTCTTTGTAATAAATCTATAAACTACCAAAGAAGAATAACAGATCTCCAAAATGGGACAGACACCCTGTCCAAAGTCCAATTTCGTGTCAAGGCAGGTTTGAGAAAACTGAAAGTTGGAGCAGATAGATTCAATTCAGTGCACGAAGCTAAGAATTGACACATTTGTTTAACCATTTTTATGGTTGACTACATATGCTTTCTCACTAAGCAACTGGTGAAGTCATTAACCAATTTTTTGGGGTTTGACGACCTCTGCTTCCTCATTAAGAAACTCGCAAGTCATTAATCAAAAAACAAAGAAACTCTTAATTAAGTGATTTAAGTGGAACTGTGGAAGTGACCACTGATCAACCCATCTTACTATATAAATCTGAAGGGAAAAAACCATTCAACTTCACTTCCAAGTTCCAATTCAAATAGGTGAATAACAATCTAAATTAACTACTTCGATCAAATGGGGGACCAGCTGAAGTTGTTTGGGTCTTGGGGAAGTCCATTCAGTGTCAGAGTTGAGAATGCCTTAAAGTTAAAAGGCATTCAATATGAATACTTTGAAGAAGATCTATCCAACAAGAGTCCTCTGCTTCTGCAATATAACCCTGTTCACAAAAAAGTCCCTGCCCTGGTTCACAATGGGAAACCCATTGTGGAATCTCTGGTGATACTGGAATACATTGATGAAACTTGGAAAGGTAACCATCCCATCTTGCCTCAAGATCCTTATGAGAAAGCCATGGCACGATTCTGGGCCAAGTTTGTTGATGAAAAGGTAGCATTTTTTTCAGTCAGTCATTAGCGGCCATTTTTGTTCCTTTTCATAAATTAATGACTCGTTAATTTATCTTTTGCTTAATTTGTGATTGCGCACAGTGCATGCCTGCATTATCTAAGACCATTTGGAGTATGGGGGACCAATATGAGAAAGACAAGGCAGAGGCTGTGAAGCTGCTCCGAGTTCTTGAGAATGAAATTTCGGGGAAGAAATTCTTTGGAGGGGAAAGCATTGGATTAGTGGACATTTCTGCCAATTTCATAGCTTATTGGTACAGGGGACCCCTGCAGGAAGCTCTTGGTCTGGACGTGTTCACGAAAGATGAGTTCCCGAATTTATGGAAATGGGCTGAAGACTTCGTTAATGACAGCGTGATTAACCAGAATCTGCCTCCTAAAGAGAAGCTAATTGCTGCTTTCCCGCCACCTTATTTGGGTGAACATCTTGTGGCCTTCTTCAAATCTCGTTTGGCATCATCTCAGGTCGGAGGCTAAAAAGGCTACAGTCAGAAGTCAGAACTGATGAAATCCACGGCACAAGCATTACTGTTATTTCATTTTTAGTTCTGTATCGTTACTGTTTTGGTTGTATTATCGTCTGTAATGTTCGCTTATCGTTTATGTCGTTCCTATTTCTGCTTGTTGATGTTGTTGTACTAATAAAAGTGGGATCCTTACGATGTTAAGGGATTGCTAGAACATAACGTTACCCGCGCAATGTCTAAATCTAGTGATTTTGGCAATTTATTTTCTGTATTGTAGGAAAAAAAGAAGAAAGAAACATTGAAAGAGAATTTGCCTCCTAAAGAGAAGCTAATTGCTAATCCCCCAGCCACCTTATCTGGGCGAAGGCGAACATCTTGCGTGGGCTTTTCCAGATCCCATTTGGCATCATCGAACGTAGGAAACTGAGGCTGCAATAAGAACTCGTGAGCGAATGCATCATTCCGTTTTCGGAAGATTTTCACGGTCGTCTCACATCGGAGAACTGAACATGACAGTGATCAATACATAAAGATTTGTGATCCCGTAAGATATTGGACATTGTGTCAGAATCATATTCTATGAAACCTGATGATTGTAGTAGTAGCATTTGCAAGCAATTGAAATCATAATTTCAACACTCTGTATTGATCGCTCACTAGGCATCTCCTTATTGTACTGATACAAGTTGATTTTTCCTGGCAAAAAAAAAAAAAAGGAAATACAAGATCTGGATGATAACTGGATACATCTCTAAAACTCAGATTGAGATGTGGAGAATGAAATAATCAGTGCTTGTGAAAGTCAGGATCCTTCACTACGGTCACAGGGCAAGCTGCATTCGTGATTACATAATCTGTAACACTTCCCAGTATAATCCTGCGAAATACCAATTATGGGACGGAGGGAGTACATTAATTTCCACAAAAGTAACCAAAGAAAAGAAGGAACTAGTTCCGATTAAGCAGAAGATGACGATGATATATATACCTCCTGATGGAAGTCAATCCCCTGCTTCCCATCACCATAGAATCCAACTTCAAATCTTCAGTAGCTTCGCACAGCTTCTCTCTCGCGTCTCCCCAGTACAATTTCCACACCACAGTTATCTACAAAGTACAGATCACAACTTCATTCAGCTGGATCACTTGACAATAAGAACTAATTAAATGTCACAAGTCAACTTAAGTTCCAGAAAAAAGCATTATTAATATGTTAGAAAATGAACAATGAGGACCTCTTTCTGACGAGCAGCGGTGTCAAGAATGTCAAGAACTTCGACGTCAATCTTCACGTCATACTTCTTCATCACCTCCGACTCCCGGAACTCCGCAAGGGGAACAAGAGCTACAATCAAACATTTGCAATTTTATTTTTATTTTTATTTTTAAAAGAAAAAAAAAGCCTCAGCTCAGATTGATGGAATAAAAAAAAAAAAAAACTTGTAGCAAAAACTTACGTGAACCGGAAGGATGTTGGCTAGAGTACTTGTCAGGTTGAGGCAAGGTGTGAATGATGACGAAAGTGTCGTCTTTATCAGCCAAATTGTCAATAGACCATTGAAGTGCAGTTTTGCTGCTCTTCGAGAAGTCCATTGCTACTCCTACTTTCCTGTCCTTCCCCATTATTGCTTTTTTTTTCTCTGCAGAAAAAAAATTCTTCTGGTTTGGATTTCTGCTTAGAAGTGTTACCAACATGTATAAACAATGCGGGGATTCGCAGTCCATCTTAATCTCCCCGCATTGACTCGCGTGCGTGTTTTCATTTCCACCTACAAATCTTTCAGCGATTTACTACTCTGAACTTAATTTATTGATATTCTCAATCTCGATATGAAATTTTATTAATAAATTTATAAACTTCAGCTTAGGTACACCATATTGACCTTATCTTTTCATTTTAATTCTAGGTAAAACCATTCAATTTAAAGGTAAAAAAAAACAATAGCGTAAGGAATCTTCCCAAATGTATACAGGTGTTTTTAGTAAACCGTTCTGATTATTAGTTATTACATGCACCTTACTTTTGTAACCCAAAAAGGGAAGTACCAATAATGAAAGAATACGTTTGCTTGTAATGCTTTGCTCATACATAGTAACATCGTGCCCGATAGGATTGTTAATAAAGTTGTTTTTAAAATCAGAGCGCTCCCGGTGTTCTTTATTGACTATAGTGATGATCATTCCTTTATAAAAAGGGGGGAAAAAAATCACTTTCTTCCGTCCTAAAATGATACTCTTTTGTCATATGATAGATGAAATACTGAACAGTGTTCTTCTGATTCGATGTATAAGAATCCTATAACAAGTTCCTATTAAGTCGCTACTACAACATAGGTTTAGTCTTTTCAATAATACTAACAGTAAGTTTCATCAAGTCGTTTAAACAACATTACTGATACTAAGTTTGCGCGGCCCAAAACAGAAAATCGCCATGTAGATGATATTGAAAATAGTATCATAGGTAAGGTAACAAAGCTGTTGGACAAATTTCAATAGTTTGTGCACTTGTAACAGCAACTAATAAAGATCCAAAAGATCGTTTAGACCAATTTAGAAGAAAATTCTTAAAAGACAGTACAGTACGTATGTTATTGTTCGAGATATACCAAAGTTTGGCATTGTTTGTTGTTGACAAAGGTAAAGAAGAACCAACATCATCGGATCACCATGAAATATATCGAAAAGTTTAAATATATGGAAATAAATAAACAGAGAAGGTCTTATCGTTCCAAGAAGTCCAACACACATTAAAATGAAAGTAATAGTAACGATTTAGGGAGCAGAATTTGTAAAATTAGTGCTTGTGAAAATCTGGATCCTTTACAACTGTGACTGGACACGACGCGTTAGTGATCACGTAATCCGTCACGCTTCCCAATATGATCCTGCCATTTCATTTATCAAAAAGAAAAGAGGAAGAAGAGGGAAGGAATTCCGTCAATTTTGACAAAACGGGAAGACCTGGTGACCAAAACTAAAAGGACACCTTTTTGTACTAAGAATACTTACGAATGTTTGTTTTTCACATTTTCTTTTAGCATATGGAAATGAAACCAAAATATTAGTAGGATGAAACCAAGTACCTCTTGATGGAGCCCAATCCCCTGCTTCCCATGACAATGGAATCCAGCTTCAAATCTTCAGCAGATTGGCAAAGCTTCTCTCTCGCGTCACCCCAGTATAATTTCCACACCACGGTTATCTACCAATCACAAATTAATTCAATTCGCTTCAAATTAATTCTATTAATTAGCAAGTTTGAAAACGGGAAGGACAATCACCTCTTTCTGGCGAACAGCAGTATCAAGCATGTCAAGAACTTCGATGTCAATCTGCACATCATACTTCTTCATCACCTCCGGCTCCCGGAATTCCACCAGCGGAATAAGAGCTACAAATCAACCAACCCAAAAAAAGGAGAAATTCAGCCCAGATGTCCAGATTGGGGATCCGATCAGAATAATTGAATGTAGATCAGAGAAGAAAATTCAAACTTACGGGAACCAGATTTCAACCAGAGTTGATTGCGGGACTCATCAGTGGGATGAGAAGCGGCATGGAGAATGATGAAGGTGTCGCCCTTATCAGCCAAATTGTCAATCGACCATTGAAGTGCCATCTTGCTGCTCTTGGAAAAATCCATCGCCACTCCTACTTTCCTGTCTTTCCCCATCCTTTTTCCTCCTCCTTCTTCTTTGCCCTGTGATTCTGGGTTTGGTACGTAATTAGGGGTTTCTTTGCGCGTCTATAAAAAAAGCTTTCAATGCAGAAGAGATGTAAAAGACACAAAAGAACAAGTTCTTGCGTGTAATGGTTTACCACGCCTTTTATACCCACTAATCCGGCTGTTAGCGTCAATACTGTTAGCCACTGTTTTTTCCCACTTCCTTCTTGTATGCGTGTCACCGTGTTTGTTTTTAAATAAAAGCACCGCCATTATTCTTTTTGGTTTGTTTGTTTTCTTTTTTCCTTCTTACAAAAAAGGACAAAAAACCAAAAAAAAAAAAAAAAAAGTACGTCTACAATATATATACTCAATATTGCATCTCATCAAAAAAAACTCAGTTATGTTGCTACAAGAATCGTCAAGAAAACACGCAACCTTTGTGCTAGCACGTCATCCTCGGATCTCATTTTATAAATTGTAATCTTTCACACAATATTTTAAAAGTTAATGGACAAATATTTAATTTGATAATTGCACATGGACCACATGGTTAATCTAATTAAATGTGTACTTGGTTCTTCTTAATCACCTCCCCCTTTTTCTTTGCTGCAAATATATTATTTATCAGGATAACATGCATAGTGATCATATGAGTTGTCGATAGGCACAGTTTGCACATTATTGCTGCACTTTTTTTTGCAGCATAATTTAATGGAAAATTCCCCTAATTTTGTTAAAGAAAACAAACAAGGAAGCTTCCCAATCCCAGCTCCTTCCCTCTCGTACTTGATAAAATTGTTTTATTGGATCCTAACTTCAATCTAGCGATAAAGCTACGGCGAATTACATGCAATTCACAATTATCACTACCGTCCCAAAGTGTGAAATGTTTATGGCATAATATAACAAAAATTGTAATAATATCTAGACGGCATAACCTAATAGTCTAATACTGTACACAATCTCGCTAGCTTAGGTAAAGTTTACATACATCACACTTTTCTATTTGAAAGGCATACTGCAATTTCATACTCCCTCTGTCCCAAAATTATTGTCCAGTTTGAAATTTCACTTTTAATACAATTTGAACTATAAATGAAAACCCAAACTAGACAATAATTATGGGATGGAAGGAGTATTTGTGTATTTTGTTTGTTATTTTATAGACGCCTAGATGGTATATGTTGACATTTGAAGTAAGAAAATTCATAATGCTAAAACAAAAATTAAGAGCAAAAACAACTTTTGACACAATCGGATAGTAATACCCTTAATAAAAACTGTTCATAATAAAAACTGTTCATAGAGGGGCATTGTTGTCAAAAGAGGCCAAAAATTATTTTGGCATCATGGATTTCCTTGCCGTTATTGTATCGGTCATGTAAAACTAATGGCTAGAAGGGTATTCACAACGGGAGTACTATCTCCGTCCAAAAAAAAATAGTTTGTTAGTATTAACTTTACTATAAATTTAAAAGTTTAATATGGATTATTTTTTTCTGAGGAGTGTGTAATATTTGGGAACAAATGATTTTGATGATGGGCTTAAAAACAGCAGAGCTCTACTTGGGCAACAAAAGGATAGAGGTAAGACTTTGCGCATCATACTTATATCTATTATCTGACAATTTTTGCATCCCAATGGGTCATTCATGGGAGAATACATAGATAACTCTATATTCAAGTAGCAAGCGATTCTGAGCGACAATGAAGCACTCACCACTTCTAGCCTGCATGGTCATTCCAAGCATAGGCCCATGAAAAGTTACCTGGTAACGGCCCACTTAAAGGGATAGGTAACAAGGTACTTTGTGGAAATGGTCGGAAAAATATAAGATGAGACCCAAGTAAGACGACGAGCGGAATAAAAAAAAGTGAAAAAAAATACATGTCTCAGATGAAAGAATGAATGCGATTTCCATTTCATACGGTGTTATAGTATGGCAAAATCAAAAATAATAAGATCATTTATTAAGTACTTTATTTCTATTCTAATCCTTCAGTCAGAAAAATAATCCAATGCATTGAACCAAAACAATACAACAAAAAAAAAACAATAAATTTCACGATGTTGTAGGTGTTTCTTATCCACGCAATATTTTAATTTAAATTTATGTTAGGTGTTGGCCTCCTTTTTGTATCCAAAAAAAAAAATAATACAACAAAATAGATTTTTTAAAAAATAAACTTTATATAAATTTCATATGAATATATATAGTAAAGAATGACGAGTAATTTGTTTTTATATATAATTATATACAGTGTTCGAAAATAAATGTAAAATTTTTAACAAAAAAAAAAAGAGTAAATGTACTACACAAGCGTTACAAAATATCCGAGGCAATGTTTTATAGGTATTAGTTGAGATTAACAATACCGAATTCTGACACAACGATGGATTGAAATGCAAGGCTCGAGATTTTGAAGTACTCCTTCGTTACTTAATATAAGGCATTTTGATTTGTCATAAGTTTTACTTAATACGCATTTTTAGTTGACAAAAAAACTTTAAAAATATTTTCTAACAATTAGGAGAATACAACAAATATGAAAATATTTTTTTAAAATTTTTTCTTTAATTAAAAATGTATAATATATAAAACATAAGACAAATCAAAATGTCTTATATTAAGTACAGGAGTAAGTAGAAATTTAGGATGGACCTTTTGGTTATATTACAACCATTTAATTTATTTATTTATTTTGAAAATACGGAGACACATTCGATTTAGGGATGTTTATAACTTTCAAATTTGTAACCTGTTACATTCAACCACGTACAAATGCAATCAATAGTAGTACTACTTCTTTTTGTTGGGATTTTTCTCATTGCTTTTTTGGTAATTAACATTCGCTGATTATGAGAAAAGAGGTTGAACAGGGGCGCCGTCTGCTGCCGGCAGGGCTCCAATTGGAGTTTTAAAAGTGAAAACGACGGGTCTAATTGGTTTAACACAGGCGGAAATAGATAGCGATCAACGTCGAGTTCATACGGGATAGGATCGAGGTTCGAACCCAATGTGAACAAACTAAACAAATTATTTTGCGCGTTGAGATCAATTCAGGCTGCTAATATGAATAGCATATGATCGATGGAGCTGAAACAACGTTGTTTCCACTTGAAATTCGGAAAATTCGCATCTTTTTCTCAAATCTTGTTCACATTTTAACGTTGGAAACTTTATCATATTTTAGTCACAGCATGTGTATAAATGATACAGATTAAAGTAGTAAAACAAATCAATTGAATGGTCTATCTTTCTGTAGAAAGCAACAAAAACAGACAACATTCGATTAATTGGATAAGACTTCACCGGAGCTCCGGCGTGATTAGAATATGATTGCGTACGGTAGTTGCATTCCGGTATGTATTCCGGTAATGTATTAATGATACCGTCTGATTCTCTACGTACGGTGCTGCACGCTTTACAGACACAAAAGGGAGGGTGCATGGTGCGTGGTTTTTGTCCTCACCCCATCAAACATTATTTTCCCCCAAGTGGCTCTGCTCTTCTGAGTTCTGCCCCCTCCCTTAACCACCTCAATCAAATCCCCAGTACAACATTCGATTTGTCCATATTCTATCCTTATCACCCCGGACTTCACATTAGTATAATTAACCAATTTTAAGAACACACACAGAGGATGAACTCCGCATTGGTTGTAATTTCAGGAAATTATAAACAATAATGCTCATAAGAGAGTACTGAAATTATACTTCTGGTTAGCGTAAATTGTCCTTGTCTCAATTTCTACAAATTTCAAATTTCGCATCGCGTTCTATGCATTTTCATGTTGGCAATTTCAAAATTCATTACCGGACAAAATACCTGGTTAACAGTTACGTTTTAATTCAATTAAGGGAACAAAATTATTGTGGGAACACGTGGAAGCAGGGAGTACACTAGCTAGCTAGTAGCGAGAGGTACAAATCGTTAAGCGACCAATTCTGAATCAATTCGCAAAACAACAAACTGAAACGCCCTCTCCTACGCAAAAACTGTTACGGCACTGGGATTCGCCGATTCCCCCACTACTGTTGTCTGCCTGCTGCCAGCAAAATCTCCTGCCACGTACGTACTCTGCTCACTTGCTCAGAGATTTCAGATTTCCCCTTCCGCCGCGCACCACCGGTTTTGTTTGTCTCCCCTCAAATAAGTATTTAATAAAGCATTTCGCAAATCAAAACTGCAGCTGCTTTATCAGTTCTGATGATTTCTAATTTTCTTCAATTTCACGGTTTGTGGAATTCAAATTTTTATCATTTGAAGCTGAGGTGTGATCAATTCAAAATTTCCTTTTAACCCATTCCAATTTCCAACTGTTAAACCTACCTTACCCCAAAGCCAAAAACTGATAAAAATCTCCCTCAAATCTTGTTTGCATTTTACATCGAAACACTATTGAGTTAGATACGTAAAAACAATCAAGCACCTCAAATCTCCCTCAAATCTTGGAACATCTACATTGTGCACATACTGAACAAATTGCACACTTTTTGTGACTTTGTAACTTTTTTTAAAAAAAAAAAAATTTACACAGATTTTTCCATCCAAAAAAAAAAAAAGTAATACACTTCTTTTTGGCGATATTTATCCCTTTATTTATGAAAAAAAAGTAATATAGTGTTATAATCTCTTCACGATGAAAGAAAAAAGGTGAACAGATGCATCTTCATCTATCACTACTACTTTGTCCATTGTATTTAGGATGTTTATGATTTTGTCCTCATATTGCTTCCATGCAAAGCATACACGCCACGTCTCCCCGGATGAGAATAATATTGGCGAGCTTAATGGATGTTCCATTCATGGTTTTTTGGGGCTGGCTACCAATTCTAAATTCAATGAGTGCATGTTTCTTAAGCCTTACGTGACATTGTATCGTGTGATTCATACTCATTTCTTTTAAGTTTAATCATATGCAGTATATCATAATTCGATACAACTACGTTAAACTTGACTAGCACTAAAACTCAACAGTTTAGGATAATCATTGATTGATCAACACGGTCATCAAAACTCAAAAGTGGAAGACAGATGACTCCAATATTATAAATAGACACACAAACATGCCATCAGTCTTGCCTTGTAAGGGAAGTGTTTCCTTTTAGCCTTTATCCTAATTGTTCACTTTTCCCAAATAATACTATCTTTTAGCTTTCTGGGACGTAGAGACGAGATATGCATGTTACATTTGGAATTATACGAACTAAGATCAAAATAATTTTTAACACATTTACGAAAAATAAAATAGATTCATTTGAAAATGAAAGGAAAAAAAATCTAAAATCCAATTGGACGACCCTGCAACCAGTAGCCACAACCCATGAGGACCCCACAAGGGTCACATGCAAGAGGAGTGACTAGTGTCAGCTCCGGACCCACCACGATCCCCTCGCCGGCCCCAGCCATCTACGGCCTTCCGATCAGGCACCACCCTCCAAAAGGTCCGACAACCCCCGTGTCTGTTTATTACCTGGCAACCAACTCCCCCTGCTCTGCGTGTCTCTCAAACCCGACCCTTGCGCGTGTTCTTACTGGACGGCACGAAAAATCTGATAATTTATTTAAATTTTTTACTAAGAAACTCTGATATTTTTCATTTTCTATATATCTGGAGAAATTACAAGTATAAAGTATAAACGTGAAATGAAACTTTCCCTTCCCCAGCCACTACTACTCTGCACTCTGCAACACTCTGTTTTCTTTTTCTTTTCCTTCTTTTCTTTTTATTGGCTTTTGCAGCTCTACTCTTACTCTACTGCTCTGTTCACTCTGTCTCAGATTATTATAGTTTGGGTCCCTTAGCTCCTGGCCTTGCGCCGAGACAAAACCAATCGAATTTCAACCTTATAAGTGTGACCTCCTGTTGTTATTAATAGAAGCAAACAGCAAACTCCAGGTCTCATTCCATCCCATTTGTATCTTTTCTCCTTCAGATAAATTCCTCTCTCGCTTTGTGAGTAAGTGGTATTGGTGAGGAACTAGCTATGACTAAGGTCGCTGATGAATTTGAGTCTTGGTTGCTCCCACAGTTCTTGATTGATGATGATGATGTGTTTTCGGAGTGGAGAGGAAGTGAGAAAATAAACGGTGGGAGAAATGGGGTCACCGCTAGTTTCGGGATGGGTTTGAACCAGAAATTTGGAGGTGGGTTTGGTGAGTTTGGTCCTTGTGGTTCACCGGAGATGGAGACTGATGACGATGACTATGTTGCTGAGTTATCACGGATATGGAGTAACTCTTCCCTTCGTGTATCCTCTACTGCATATGAGAGCAAAATGGTAATTAGAATGCTTTTTTTCATATCCGCAATTCAATATTTTTAATTCACTTTTGCAGGGTTTTGTACTGACTCTTTTCTTAATTACAGGGGTGGGGTTTGTCTGGTTCGCCGGAATCGACGCTGTCCGGTGGCTTGGGCGGAGGAGAATGTCGCTGTATTCGTTGCTCCAGCCGTAAAAGTCCCACTTCTCTGTCTCAGGTTACTTCGCCGACGGGAATGAACGGAATCGAGACAGCTTGGGAGCTGCTTTGTGCGGCTGCAGGGGAGATAGCTCGTCTGAGAATGGCGGAAGAAGTGACTGGCTTTCATCTGAAGAGCATCAATGGAGGCCGTATTGTGCCTATTCCCAGAAAGCCAACCCCTGTTTCCGTTCCTCAGAAGAACTCTGCCGGTCTTTCTTATCAGAATCAAGTGAAGGCCTTGCAAGTATGTTTGATTCTGACTTCATTCTTTCCGTTCGTTTTTCTTCTTCATTGCTTACAGTTCTAGTTGATTTTTATGTGTGTTGCTTATTTGGTTTTTGTCTAATGTAGTTTCAGCTTCTCCGGGAACAACAAATGAGCGAGAAGAAATTTCAGTTGACCCAGACACAAGGAAAACTTCTGAACAATGGAGGGAGAAAGCCTAATATCTCAACCGGTGTGTCAGGATGGCCTTCTTTTGAACAGACCCGGCGGCAACAACAGGAAGCCGGCTCAGGCATGAGGACTGTGTTCCCGGGAAATCCAGTCTCCAAAACTAGTCGTGCCGGCACTGGTGTCTTTTTGCCCAGAAGAACTGGAGTCTCAGCTCCTGGTAGCAAGAAACCAGCAACAGCTGGTATGTTTTTCTTGTTAATTTAATCGAGTCAACCTCTGTTTTCTGCATGATTTCTTGGTGGTGTCATGTGAATCGAATTTTGGAGAAATCCTAGACTGAAAAAAATAGAAAATGCTCTGTTTTCTTAGAGTCATTTGGTAGATTTTTCACATGGCATATGTGTTGGCTGGTAGGTGTTGTAGGTGAATAATAACTGTGAATGTGCCTCATTCTTATTGTGCAACCGAAAACAGTGTTTACTGTGGCCATCTTGACTCGGTTCTGATTCTTTAATGGAATTTCAGTTATATGGGTGTTTAACTTTACACTGGTTTTAAATGCACAGCCTCTTCCACTGTTTTGCTTGAGGACAGAGTGGTCCAAACCCGGAATTTGGAAGCTATGAATTCACCGGCGCAGCCCAAATATGGTAAGCAGTTAAGGTCCCAATTTGTTGTACCTATTTGACCTATCAATTTTATGGTTGTAGCTTCTTAACACTGGTTACAATACTCAGAGTTGTATTTTGGTTATTGACAGAGGCAGAAGGGGCAAGATACAGAAGTGGTAGGATGATGTCTCAGCAGGGGAGCAGTAATGTGAAACAATTTCCAGTAAAGATGAAACAATCCCAGGAAATTCAACTTCCTCAAGAGTGGACTTACTGATTTTTGGTGGTTTTTGGATGACCTTTTTGAAGTGGGAAATATGCGGAACATAAAGCTTTAGGTAGTTTAAAAAAAAAAAAAAAGTGGATGTAGAAGTGCAGAGTAGTGCTTAGAACTGAAGAAAAGGGAAGCGTTGATGATGATCAAAAATGCTTTTAGCATAGGCAGTATTAACTATATAAGCGTAGTACCAGATGAGATGAAAATGCTCATCTTTTTGCTACAGTACTACTTAGTAAGTAGTGGTAACTAGTAGTAATCGAGCTTAGGGATTGAATAATTTTAGGCTAGTGATTGAGAGAAAACTTGAAAAAGTGAAGATCACCGCAGCTTTTTGTCACGTTGATCTTACTCGATTTACAAGGAAAAAATTAAAAATATGGTTAAGGATGGGATGGCACTGTGGCAGTTGACCTCCCCTCTTGTTCAGTGATCCTCAGAAAAGTTCTGTTATTCATCTCAGAAATTAATGATTTGGTTAGAACAATCCGCATTTACGGCCCCCTTTTTCAACTGATTGCCTACTCCATTTTGGTCGAATGGCGGCTTTAATTACAGAATCCTACTTCACCATATACTCAAGTGGCAGTAATTTTCATTTTCCCTTTGAATGTTCGCAAATCTCGATTTAAGTACCCTCTGGAGTTTGACATAAAATTGATCCCTGTGTTCATGGCAATAGTTTATTCTTTACAGCTTAAAAATGAAAAGATGGTGGAAGAATAAAAATGAAAAAATCTATCACATGCTTTCCCCCTGCTGGCATTTTGACTTTAACTGTCTGACCATCATGTTCTTGATCATTTTTGTGCAAATAACAATACACATCATAGACTCATAGTCAATTTCAGAACTAATATTCTATATGCTTCGATCTAGGTAACGCCTTGAAATACTGTCTTCAAAAAGCTAAAAACAACATCTTTATACAACCCCGAACTTTATTAAAATTTGATCGGAAATATATCAAAACCTAGTACTCCTCTCGCTTTAAGACAAAGTTGTTTATAAACTGTAATAGTGGTAAACTTTGTACTACATATGTATGATCGAACATGCGCAAAGTATTAAAGGGGACGATTACTTCATTTGCATCTGGGGAAAAAATTGTGCGGTTGGGGATCTTCTAGTTGTCGTGTTTGTGGGGGGAATAGGAATACTAAATACACTTCCTTAATTTGATGGGTTATGAGATGGGATTACGCGTTTTACACATATCTAGTTGGGTGGGGGTAGACGAGTGAGGACCAATAAGATGGCGAGTTATTAATTTTTAGATGGGAACGTTGATTTAGAATTTGGGACGATAAACGTTAATAAATGTAAGAGTGAGACAAATGAGTTTAGAGATTATAAAACTCAATGAAATTCATAATCATATTGGTGTTACAATTATTCAGTACAGTAGATGTGTCTCAATTGTCATCATGTCAAATCATATGAATTTTGATTCTCACGTCTCCATTCTTCAACTGTAACTTTTTCAGGACGAAGATCACGGACTAATAGTATTATTATGGCACCTTAAACATTTTCGTGAAAACCAATAAATGCTGTGTGTGTGTGTGTGTGTGTTTCTAGTCCTCCGCATTTAGTTTGTGATCGTGATGATGGTGACACTACATCAAATGCACTACAGTTGCTTCCGTTTTTATTCACTTTTGCTTCCTATGCACATCAACTGACCATCTCTATTTTTCGTTTTGTAAAATCAATATCTTTCATTTACCGTTGCAAATCTCTAACTCCCTCGAAACGATCTCAAGGGATTAGCAAAAACCATTAATCCAATTTGAAGATAATCTTGACTCTCATAAGTAACTATTCGGTTTAAATTCGAATTAGTTGTACTAATAACATATATGCAAAGAAACATTATTTTCTACGAAATTACCGACATTTTCTCATTTCCTTCCAAAATAATCAAAGCCCACTAAAATTGCGAGTGTATTATAACAGTTGTAAATGGTGGGCTTTTGTGGTGGCCCTGATGGGTCAAAGTCCGTGTTTTTATACGTCTCCGATTGCCTCTTCCCCGATGTGATCGGCCAGCAGCATTTTGACCATCATCCAAAAGACTGAAAAATTTCACGCGCTCCGGACACCATTTCGATTTGTACTAAAGTCAAAATGGAGTCCGTATTTCTAAACATAATTGGGAAGTTGTTCGAGCACTTCTTTTTTTGGGTTAGTCAATTCTCCGGCCGCTCCTTGGCCGTCACCTAGTTGTTACTATCCTTGTTTTGTCTCACTCATCAACTTGAGCAATTGTTGTTACTCAAAGTAGTCAAGTTGGATGATCCTTTTTTTAAAATTTGTCTAGATGGTCTTTGTGTGAAAAAGATTACGATCATATTTGAAGGGAAAAAACATGTTGGATTCATTAGCAGATTCACCATCCAAATAAGCAGTTAGAAATTTTGTGCATAAATTCAGCCTAAATTGAAGGAAAATGAACCTCTTCCTCAGCCTCAGCCGTCATCCCAGATTAACAGCTTTTTGCTAACAAAAACAGCGCTGCCGCGGTGATGTGACTGCGGCTTTGAGAGTTTCGATTCCCCAGTCTATGTTTGTCTCTATTATTACTGGACTTGTTTTTTCGATTAATAACCTTGTATCTTAACTGGATGATACAGTACTATTAGATATTCCAAAGTTTTGCCTACAAGTAGTTCACTTGTATTAAGTCTTGCCTTGTAGGCAGACCAGGACTAATGTCTCTTATTCACGAAATATATTAATCTTGGAAATATATTTAACATATTGTTCACAAAAAAAAAAAAGAAAAAATGGCAGAGGATTTTGAGAAATGAGAAGATGATATTGTTACAAAGGGTTAATCCCGGGAATTCACAACACACACCAACACCAACTCCCACTACTACCTTATTTCTCAACACGCAAAACACAGCAAAATGGTGACACAATTCATGGAATTAGTCTGCAAAAAAAATTCAAAAAGGTTGCTCACCCACTAACGAACCTGCCGTTTTAGGTTGATGATGGAAAATGAAAGGTGTAATTTCAAAATAGCCATTTGGGATTCAGATGATAGTGATGAAAACGCTGTTTTAGCAGCAACTAAATAATATTTTCAGTTCAATAGTTTTCCATCACTGGCGTCACCCCCGCCATGACAATAGGCTGGTAGGATTGGGTTACCAAATTAAGATCTTTTGCTGGGTTGATGATTCACCTACTTATGTTTCATGTCGATTTTATTTCTAAGATGATAAAATACTAATAAACCACAGTGATCTTGTCTCTTTCTGAACTGTTGAAATTTCCGAAAAAAATCTACCAAAACTCATAATTACATTAAAATTAAATTCATAACCATTCAATTTCTCAAAAGTGTAGAAGCTTTTAGATGCTAAAAAATAAACAAAATCCATCCTAACGACACAAGAATATTTTTTTGGTTATATTTCTTCTGTCCTAAAATTATCAATGGACCCAAAGAGTAATGTTCACTGGATCTCATATTCCTACCAAAAGAGCCACCAGTTTCTGGGCCGTAGATGGCTAACTTATTTCCAGGCTCATTAATAGTTTGGCCCAAATCATTTCTTTTCTTCCTCAGAAACGACAACATACTTCATCGTTTTATTATTTTCAGCTTCAACGAACCAGGTGGAAGCAGGCAATTCATTTTCTTCGTCAATCTTCAGTTAACTAGTCCACTTCTTTAAGCTGACTGGCGGACGGCCGGCAGGAGCTTTAACCGGAACCAATTGTTCTTCTTTGGCAGATATTGTGAAATCACTTGGTTGGAACTCTAGTTATCTAGATCACAGCTTCTGCTAAAAGAGAATTGTGGCCCGAAGAAACCATGGCACCAGATGAAGATTCTCAACAACAATTCAAGCCCCAAAAGAAGAAGCCTGATTCCGAACATGAACAGAGGTCAGTCTTGTTCACCATCTATCAAATTTAAGAATTTCACAAGTTCAGCTCTACTTGTTTTTTATTTTATTTTATTTTGTTTTTTTGTTGATTGTGTTATGTACATTTTACTTAGGAGAAAGAAAATTGTACCTGGGAGTTTGATGAAAGCTGTGATAAGGCCCGGAGGTGGAGAATTGACACCCGCGGACGGTGATCAGGTCTTTTCTTTTGCGTCTTCTTACGACTTTGATTAGTTTACACCGTGGTTTTGAGTGAAATTTTGGAGTGCCAGCAATGAAAATCTCATTCAAGTTGCAACCCTGATGAAGTCTTTCTGAGTAAATTTTCATTTGATACATGGTGATAAGCTGAGAAACAAAATTATGCAGGTCATTTACCATTGCACAATTCGTACATTGGAAGGTGTTGCAGTGGAGTCCACTAGAAGGGAGTTTGGAGGTCGGTCGAAATAAACTCTTTTGAGTTTTATATATGGCTTCTTAGCTTTTTCTTGCTTGCTTGAATATTTCCAAATTTGGATTTACTTTTCACTGCTTCTGTAATTGATTCGATACAATGGTATATGTGGTTAGTGCTCTCTTTTATGCGACCCTGAGTGTCTGTTGTTACCTCAAGATTACGATCTCTCTTGCCTTGAGTATTTATCACTACATCGTCTTGATTACATGATGCTCGTGGTACAGGAAATGGTACACCTTCAAGGCAAGTGCTAGGAAAAAGCAAGATGATTGTAGGATTACTTGAAGGAATACCCACAATGTTGAAGGGTGAAATTGCAATGGTCAGCATCCTGTTGCCACTTTTTTTGTTTTGGAAATGTGTGTCTTTTGATACACTCCAGATAAAATTGCTTACACTTTGATCAAAATAGATGTGATTGACTAAATACTAGTAACTCTGGCACGAAGAATCTAGTTGAATAGGATGGAGCATGAAAAGGATATGACTAGTGTAGATCTTTGCAGACTTCATTGCATATTTGGAATTAGTATTTCCATTGCTTACTTTCTTCTAAGCATGATTTAGAAAATGCCAACTGTTATTTTTGGCACATCTAGTCATTAACGTACTGAAGTAATGATGTTTTCTAAATAGATCGAATCATCTGCCTTGGTACCGCGTCTTCTCCAATGCAATTTATCGAGCCAAAATTTGCATGAAATCTCATTTCTTGTACTGATTAACTGGTATTTGGCTTGCAGTTCAAGATGAAACCTGAAATGCATTTCGGGGAGACGGATTGCCCAGTTTCAGTGGCTGATAATTTTCCGAAAGATTCTGAACTTCATTTTGAAGTGGAGCTTATAGATTTCTCAAAAATCAAGGTAAGTAAATGCAATAAGTTCATATTCCCTCTGACTAAGGAAATGTTTGATTGAAGCTTAGACTCACTCATTATACGGTTTAAAGTGTTCTATGAGAAATTAGATTCCTAATGAATGCCTTTTCTGGGTTCAATTTTCTGACATTTTATGGAAAGTTCTTTGATCTTAAAGGTTTTCCACTTTTTCTTCATTGCTATCTTGCATTTTTCTTTGTTGTCCCTTTGGTGTATTAATAATGTCAAGTTCGTAGTTCCTGATTTACTCCATGCAAGCAGCTGATCTCATATATTGGGCATTTCAGGTTATCAATGAAGACTTAGGAGTGTTAAAGAAGGTATGCTAGAAAACTTTTTCATGATTTTCCTCCTTTCTTTTTCATCTTCATTTTACTGTGAAGTTGATAGTGACAGACAATAAATGATAATTTTGGTGTTGCAAAATATAGGGTAGAATTTGCTGCAAGTTAGTAACTAATGTCATTTAATGGGATATAGTTGGATAAATTAGCATGAAGGGAACTACGTATCTCTCACCCCTCCCAAAAGAAAAAAGAAGAGATTATTTGTTATTGTCGCTTTTGAGGTTTTCGTCGCCTCTTCCTTGCTTGCTTGGCTATGCCTCCAGTTTCAAATGTAGAAAGTCCCTGGTATTGAATTCCTGAAGAATTTTGAATTAAATTATTCAAAAAGTACTGGGTAAATTTAGTTATGTAATTGACAGGGAGAATGGCGAGAATAATCTTTACGGACTAAAGAATTCCTGAACTAACAGTATCAAGCAAACAGTGTGCGACAGTGTGAGTTGGGTTTGCATCATGCATTTGGTACATGAATTAATTTCCGCATTTTTTTTGCCCAGGTGCTAAGAGAAGGAGAGAGTTGGGAAACACCGAGGGAACCGTATGAAGTAAAAGCTTGGTAGGCAAAAAATTGTTGGGCTTGATCTCAATATTTATATAGTGCAGTCAGTCAGCTTTTGACTAGACCGAGCTGGTAATTGATAGCTTCTTTGATATTGACCTGATAATGTCTTTGTCCTAGGATTTCAGCAAAGTCGGGGACTGGAGAAGTGCTCTTGTCGCGTGGGGAAGAACCAATTTCTTTTACTTTTGGAAAATCTGAGGTGGGTTTGAATTCCTAGCTTTGCTGTCTCAATTTCTAATGCATGCTTGCCGTTTCTTGTGATTATTCCCTTCTGTCATTGCTATAACTCCCTCTTCTAAATATAGAATCCACCAAATTTTCTTGTGAGAAATTCTGCCAACGGATTTGTTCCTCTGACCTGGTTCTGCAGTATGAATCCTGCCCACGTCTTTTGTGACGTGTATGTGAACCTAGTTTACGTTTCCTCTTGTTTCTGCGTGCTATGAAATTGTGTTACGCACTTATTTTGGTGTCTGCGGTGTGTATATTAAACAGATACCTGAAGGTCTTGAAATGGGAATAGGAACGATGTCTCGTGGAGAGAAGGCTGTAATTTATGTAACCAGTCAACATATTACTGAATCTCCTTTGATTCCTGCTGTAGAAACCATGGGGGAAATTCATTTTGAGGTGGAGCTTATACATTTTATACAGGTACAGTTTAATCTCATTGCTAGTAAATTGTGGCCTAAAAAAACTTAAGCTATGAATTGCAATTTCTTTGGCAGTTTTTACTTACTAGATTACTGTTGAAGAGCTCTTTCTTTTTCTACCTTTAATCCAAAAACTTCTGGATTCTTTTGTTCTTTGACAACTTTGTATCTAGTAAATGACAGTTGTCTCTACTTAATCTGGCATACTTTATTTTCCAGCATTTATAAGATCCTATGTCATTATGTATACGAAGTTACTTATATTCCTGTGAAATTAATGAGAATGGGGCTTTATGCTAGCGATCGTCTTTAAACAGACTATTCCTTGTAGTCTTACTAGTTTTTCAACCTCAAATTTTCTATATTTAAGAATATTCGCACTCCAATACGATTATGAACTTATAGAGAATGCTGGGTTTTACATTTGCAGGTGCGCGATGTGCTTGGAGATGGGCGCCTGATAAAGCGCCGCATTCATGACGGAAGAGGTTGTTTATTTTGTTTCCATTCGTGTGTATACTTGTACTAAATCATGTCCTGGTGCTATGATAAATGGTAATCGACCTGAAGTGTGCTTTTCAACTCATAATTTGTTATCAGCTAGGACATGATCATTATGTAATCCTTCTACTTAATGTCATTTTCTAGTCCGCCTCTATTCGATAATCTTGGATGAAGGAGGAGGAACTTCCATTTGTTTCAAGGGAACTAAAAACCTCGTGTACTTTTATTCTCTCAATGATTAGGTGAATTCCCTATGGATTGCCCTCTTCAGGACAGCTTATTGCGTGTCCACTACAAGGGGATGCTTCTTAATAGTGAAAAGACAATTTTCTATGATACAAGAGTACACAATGATGGGCAGCCTCTAGAGTTCAGCTCGGGTGAAGGACTTGTAAGTCTCATTTATGGTCGACAAGTATATATTGCTAGTAAAATATGATATGATGTTGATGATACATGCGTTTTTTCTGTTTTAGTTATAGGTATTTTTCCATGCTAACATTTGATTGTAATCCCCTCAATTTTTTATTTTTTTTAAGGTACCCGAAGGATTTGAAATGTGTGTCCGCTTGATGTTGCCTGGAGAAATAGCTCTGGTTACATGTCCCCCTGATTATGCTTATGACAAGTTCCAAAGGTACTGACTACTCTCCTATTTCATGACAAATTTGATCCCACCTAAATCATTGTGTTTTTTCTTTCTAAAATCATTTGATAGTGCTACTGCTACCTTGTTATGACCTTTATGTTTTTCTTTGGTTGTAACTAGGCCAGATAACGTTCCTGAAGGCGCGTACGTTCAATGGGAAATTGAACTTATTGATTTTGAGATGGCTAAGGTAATTGATGTAATGAGTATATTTTCATTAAAACACGCAATTTTTTAACTTCACAACCATTTCAGGGAAATAGTTTGAACATATTGGTTCATGGAGTAGTTGAAATTCGCTGTCAAGTTATTATTAATGATATGGTGGTATCTGACTATCTTTTTTACCACTTGTTTTAGGTTTAATGTATTAATTACTTCACTGGGCTTGTTTTATTTTTCCTAGTGATTATATTTCAGTTTTCCTTAGTGTGAAATAACAATGATTCGATGGAAAACGAGAATTGCTTATTTTATTCTCTGGTTATGGAGTATCAATTTTTCTGATGACGGGAGGGATATATTGGTTCATTCTCCTTATTCTTGTGCTTATTATTCACATTCTTGAGTATTTTGATAACATTCTTTGTCATTCACCAACCAAACAATTGTCCTTATATGCTATTATGGTGCAGGACTGGACTGGTTTCAACTTCCGACAAATAATGGAAGATGTGGAGAAGATCAAAGGCACGGTATAATTGAAAACTAATTAATAATGTGGTGCTAAATTGGTACTAACATTTTGCCTATCTATCATAAAAATAGAAATCACGTTGCCTCGACTAAATCTAATTTTGGAAAGAGCTCTTTTAGCAAACTGGAATAGTTTTACAATGATAAGGAACGTTTTGATGGTTAATAAAACCTGGAAGTGGGAGTTTCTACCATCTAAATCAAATCATTCCTGATATTACCGTCCCGGATGCAATTTTTAAGCTTTGAAGTTTATATTGAACTATTCGAAATGACTTCATGTTTTTTCTTATTTTGTAATTTTTCTACAATTTTCTGCGTTATGTGTTCATTTCAGATAATTTACAATTTTTATAATTTTACCTCTTCCATTTGAATAAACTATGCCAAAGGTTTGATTTATGTTCCCAACAAATGTGACGTTGTGCGTACTGATTCTAGAGGTGTGTACACACCAAAATACATAGTGTCAAGAAAGCTCACTTTTATTTTTGCCAAACTTCAGGGGAACAGGCTTTTCAAGGAAGGGAAGTTCCAACTTGCTAAGGCCAAGTATGATAAGGCATGTGTGACCTTTAGTTTTGTTCTTTACTCTCTTTTGGCTTGAGGTTTATTTCCGCATTCACGATAGACATGATCACGAAAATGCTAGGCATGAATACGTATTCCAGATGAGTTTTCTTGATGCAAGTCTAGTGGTTTGCCCTATATACCCCAAGCTTTTCTACTTTTTGTAGCCTCAACACTTCTAAAGCTGACATTAATATTGCTAAAAACTCCATGCATATCTTTCCATCATGTTAAACTTCCAGTTGTTCCTAGCTTCATTTCTGACATTCTAGCCTCTTTCTGGTTTTCATAGACTGAAAGATTGGAGATTAACCAAATTATAGCTCTGAAATTTGGTAGTTGGACTGCCCTTTCTGTATACTAATTGCAATTGTATATGATACCATTTCGATGCAGTGTCTCCTGAGTTTATTCATCTTGAAATTGGATGGGTAAATGATTGATTGGGTTTTGGAGTGAATGATAAACGTGTTATTTACATGCCGTTTTACTTTGCAGTTGCTACGAGAATTTAAGCATGTTAATCCGATGGATGATGAGGAGGGAAAAGAATTTTCAAATGCAAGAGTATGTGTAGTTCAAATCGATCCATTTATTTTATTCCATTTGATGTATACTTTTAAACCTGAAGTTAGTACTAAGGGTACTTTCTGCTTTTGAAATGTTGAAGGATCTTTTGCATCTTAATGTGGCTGCTTGCTTATTGAAAATGGGCGAATGCAGGAAGTCTATTGAGGAATGCAATAAGGTACATACTACCTTATGAGTTGCTACAACTGATACCAGTCTCATTTTATGTCCCTAGCATGAAAACGGAAACTAGAATTCGTGGACTAGACTTTGTGTTATTAATGCAGGTATTGGATGCAAATCCTGCTCATGTCAAAGCTCTATATCGGCGTGGAATGGCATACATGACAGCTGGTGATTTTGAAGAGGCTAGAAGTGACTTCAACAAGGTACTCTTGTGATCTGGCCAAAAAAGGGGGGTTGGGTGTTTGGTAAATGGACATCTTACAATTTACACCCTTGTGTTATGTGTTGGCTAATATTCAGATGATGAGCATTGATAAGTCTGCTGAAGCAACGGCAAAAGCAGCTCTTGTGAAGCTTAAAAAGGAGGAACAGGTTGGTTGGTCAGTCTACAAAATTGAGAATTAGTTTATGTAACACTTTTCTAGAGTTCTAACCGGGTATTGGACGATTCAAACAGGAAGTCCATAAAAGAGCTCGGAAGCAGTTTAAGGGGCTTTTTGACAAGAACCCTGGTGAAATTTCAGAAGTTGGAGTCAGCAAAACTGAAGAAAATGTCAATGAAAGCCGCGAGAATGATGATGCTGATGATATAAGTAGCGATGAGCAAAATATTGAAGAGGCTGCTGCTCCAATTCGAATGAATTTCGTGTCACAAAGTTTTTCTAAAGCCAGAAGATTCTTCGCATCTCTGGGGATCAGCAGATGTACCATATTGTGAGTTTAGAGTCTAAATATCCAAAGCTTTGAATCTGTGGGTATCGTGTCGGTTAGTCAGTGAGGTACTGAAGTAACATTGATCTCTTCTTGACGAATCCATATTTGGATAATTACTTGGATATACTAGGAAATCACAAGTATCAAATGATTCACATTGTTACAGTGGGTGTCTTGTTCTTCTGGTCGATTTCATTCTAGCCCTCAAGATGTAGCAGAGACGGAATTTAACCAATAAAAATTCGAGGAAAATTTGCGAATCTTACTTCGTTTTTAAGTATTCTTATAGATCAGGAGATTTACCAAATGGATTCTTTTCATTAAGATTTCAAAACTGGGGATGGATGATTTCTGGAGGAAAGCACAATATCAATGCTATACATGTAGTCTAGCATACTTACTAAGAAGAGATGAAAAGGGAAAAGCATACAGAAGCAATAAGTAGTCATCAAGTCGTGCCAATGCGGAGTTGCTGTCAACATGTTGGACTGGAACAACGTTTGTTAATCACCTCCTAAGACGATGAACTCATTAAAGCTTACAGCTCTTATTCATCCATCCTACACTCAGGTTGGATTCAGTTGAATCCCCACCAAGTATTCATCTTAGGAAACTGATGACAGTGTTTTCCTGGAGATCAAGGTTTGGGATCCTGATCTGATGAGCCATTCTTTCGCAACTTGACCAGGAAATACCCGGCGGCATGACCAGCGACAGCTACAATGAAGACTCCAAGGTTGAAGGACATGACAGCAAGCATGACCATGTAGGCCAAAGCCATACGGAATGCATAAATAACGGCGAAAACTAAGCTCGCGACAACAGGGCTCGCCCCTGCCTTCGCCGGCGATGGAGAGTAGGACAAAACCTCAACTGCAAAAGCAAGAAAGAACACAAAGATCAGAGCCAAAATATATATGCCAAGCCTGTGACCAGGCCACCCCGGGAATAAAACCGTCACGTCTTTGCCCCAAAAGAAGCTCATGTGCATAACCATGTCTTTCATCATACTCGACGAATTGTTGTTGTACATGGAATCGGGTGACATTGGCATTTGCATGTCATGACCATGATCCATTTTTTTTTTTTTTTTCCGGAGAGAAACTACAAAGTTGTTGATAGTATGAGCACAAGATATATAACTGGCCTATGTATTCAACAAATACCAAACCAGACTACCAGAGTAAATAATATATAGGCCGAACCCAGAGAAGATGAATAGAAAGGCTGAGGATATGTGGTTGATGACGGACAAATTCAAGGGACCATCTAAACTAAATGCCAAGGGCCGCATTTTGTTTTGTTTTCTTTTTTCTTGCCTTTCGTCCATGACAAAGCCTAAGGGACCGGCAGATGCGATCGCATCCTCTATTTTCTGCTCCATTTGTCCTAAATTAAAATAATTCTTATTGAGTTTTAAAATTTATAAAATTAAATACAATGGTATAATATTTTCAACTCTATTTGTTTCCCAAAAAAAAATAATAATCTACGTCAAAAATTTTAAAACTCAATGTGGACTTTTTTTTTTGTTTTCCTGTTATGGGGTATAATTGTTAATTTTTTGTATGAGAAATAAAACTTAGCGGAGTTACCTTATACTGGTAAATTATATAACTGACTAGTTCTGTGAATCTGATGGCAGAAAAAAATATAGTACCATATGCGTACAAATATATTTATTAGTTGTTGTTTTTTTTTTTTTTCCCGCAGATTTCCTATCTGCTATGTGAGTCTCATTGCTCCTCCACTGCTCTGGTGATAAGATGATCAGGGGAGCTGAACTTAGCCAGCAGGAAAATGATGTGTGGGAGTTTTACTTATATTAATTAATGACGACTTGGCCTCCATGAATGTCATCTCTCACAGCTGACTTTAACTAAACTATGGTAGATAAAGGCATGGTGCACGACAATCCCTATGAATAATATTCACCAATTATTCCTTTTATTCTCAGATGTGGCAAGTTGAATTTGTAATTAAGACATTATCATCATACAAAGCGAAATGGTCAGGTCAATCACTTGATATAGTAATGAAAGCATCCCTTCACTGACACTAAACTTTCAAGTTTATATAAGTAAAATTGTAGTAGAATGGAATTGCTTGTAGGTATCAAATTTCATGGAGATCTGCCTCAGGATCATTATCAGAGCTGCTTTTATGTCACTTTTCCTGAATTACCATAAATTCAGAGTTGCGGGTATTTGTAAAGAAAAAAGGGATGGAGGAAGAAGAAGAAAGTTGCTTCAAATCTTAACTAACAGTGGGTAGCAACTGGCAATAAGCCAATAATAATGGTGTGCCCATTTAAGACGCAAATATATTGATAACGAATCTCTGTAACGTATCTGGTATTATGATTTATGATTTATAACAAGTTTCCCTGCATGGTCAAGAACTAATAAGCGGACCTACTAATTTCTCTGGCCTTTTGGCTATTGCATTTTACCTTTTGTTTAGACAACTATCCAATCTATGCCATAACTTTTTTTTATTAAGACGGGAAAATCTTGCAAAGAGTAAGTTGACAGGCATTGTTTCCTCAAGTTATGAAACGCGCTCCACCTACACAACTCTTAATGTCGGGCTCTTTCAGTAACGTATCTGTTTTAAACTAATTGTTTTGTTGGTCGAGTAATTTAATATAATTAAATAGAACATGACATGATCTTATTCTTTGTCAAATTATATTAAAAACTTATAAGTATACAAATTGATCCTTTATGAAAACTAAAATGTGAACCTAACAAAAAGTCATCAAGATCCTACATCTCTAGACTCTTAGAACACATTTTATATTAATTATATGTTTGCATTCATCAACATACAAACTCTTAACACTTTTTGAGGCCATTTCAAAAAAACACACACACACACACACGTTTTTAGGGGAAAAAAAAAAGAACAATCTTTCGTCACAACTGCAATAAATCCAGTGGCGGAGAAGATGTAAATTCAAAAAAAAAAAAAAAAAGAATAAAACAATATTACGTTGTCCCGTAATTGAAAATTTTTTAGAAGATCTCACATGATTTGTAACCAAAACAAAAGCCCACGAGGCCCTGATATTTTCCGACTGATCCACATCGTTAACTGTTGCTGGAGCCCTTTTTGAAAACCGGGCTTCCGAAAATCACGTAACCAACTGCATGGCCCAAGACAGCGGCAATGAAAACTCCTCCATTGTACGACATCACCGACAGCATCACCATGAACGCCAATCCGGACCGGATTCCATGGACCACCGTCTGTAAAACGACCGGGCCAGCCCGTTTTGACTCGGGTTTGACAAGATTAATGTTGGAGAACATCTCCACGAACACGGCCAAGAAAAACACGAAGACGAGCGCCAGGCCGTACATCCCCTTACTGTTTCCGGGCCAACCCGAAAATAGGATCTCGGCATGTGTGCCCCAGTAGAAATGCATGAGCGATGAGAACGACTTGTGGTGGCCGTCAGGCGGCGGAGGCGGCGGAGGAGGAGGGGCTGCGGCGGTAATGTTATGGTGGTGTCTTATTGGGAGAGGAGGAGTAATTCCCATGGTGGTGGTGGTGGTTCTTTGTGGCTGAAGTGAGATGGCATTGGTCCGGCGATGTGGATTTTAAGTAGGTGGAAGGCAGATGCCGCAACCAGAGTTCTATATTCGCACACCAGGCGAGTGTAATCACAAGCATCCATTGGTATTGAGGCTGAAGAATGAGAAAGAAAAACGGTTGATGATACGCTCTTAGAAAGAGGTTGAGGCTGAATAATATGTGAAGTTTACATTTGCAGGGTGGAATCTGCTATGACCAATCAGCAAGTAATCTCCGTGAACAGTACACTTCCCCCCATTTGTTTAATTCCGCCGCAAAATCTTCTTTTCATTTCCATTTCAGAGATATTATTCTCTGTTATGGTGGGCGAAGCTAGTTATTAAATTTGAGGTGTTTTTACCATGAGCCCATTAATACCACGATGTTCATACCCAATCATTGTATAGTGGGCTACTTTGTTTCGTCGAGTTGACGAAGCATCCCAAATGAGATCTACTCTGTAGCCCATCTTCAAGTGAAAAGTGAAAACTTTGTTGTGGAACAATTTGCTCAACCAAAAGATTGGTAATTGACAAAAGTTTTCGTCAAATCTTTTGGGATGTTATCATTATGAGAACTCAAGACTATCGACGCAGAGAATAAAAAATTATAGTACTTGACCACAGATCACTAAACTCAAATCGCTCGACTTACTATTCATTTATTTCGTAATTGGACTCGCAATGACATGTGTAGACATTCAGTCCCAACGTATTAGAGTTAGTACATGCTCGTTATTAGATAGCTAAAGAGAGAGTAAATTTTATTGTACATAGTATCTGAGATCCAAACCATACAGGTACAGCCATGTACTACAACAAAGTTGCAGCACTAACATCATGAAGTACTTACTACAAGTGTTTACAAACCCTCCCTTTCTAGTTGTCGAGTAGTACTACTTAACTCTTTAGCATATATATTTAGAATATAGATAGGGAAATCTGCAGACTTTGAATTAGTGGTCACTTATGTCAACATTTCGGACACGATGACGGTAATTGCGACCCATATCCCTCCTGGGAATTCTGACAGTGAGGACTCCATTCTCCCATGAAGACTTAATCAGATCAGCCCTGGCATCTTCCGGCAGTGTAACGGCAGTCATGAACTTTGGTCCGCTGAATTCCACATGGCGCCAGTTTTTGCGCCGATCCCCTGTTTCACTAACTCTCTCAGCACTGATCCTAAGGATTCGATCATCCTCCAATTGAACCTTCACGTCTTCTCTCCTCACCCCAACGGGGAGAACCGTCTTGAAGATGTGGGCTTCTGGGGTATCCTTCCATTCGATTGCTGCATCATCGAGTCTGACTGGTGGCGACGATGATGAGAAGTGGTTATTGCGATGATGATAGGAAGGAGGATGAACAGAGTAGGGTGAATTTCCAGAGAGTATTGGGATGTGGTTTTGGTGATTTTTGTTGTAGTAATCATGATGATCCTCAGTCTGATCCTCTCCATAAATTGGGTAATGAGGCTCGTAGCCGAAATTGGTTCGGTGTCTAGCGTCGTACATAGGCAAGAGGGATGCCATTTTGCTGCAATGCTCTGTTTTGATCATCCAGAAAGATGGGCTAAGCTCCATATATAGTAATCATTTGGATCAAAGGTTGATTTGTAATTGAAAGTAGTATGTGAATCATTGGCAGCTCTATAAGAATAAGATTCTTGATAAGCATTTGATCAGAAACGAATCCCATAATTTGATTAGGTTAGTATGTGAATCAGTGAGTTTAGGACGCGTGGTCAGATGTTAAATTGAAGTTTCTGATTGAAAGGAGATGATGAGTCATGCTCAATGCTGAAACAGATTTTCAACCTGGGAATCAGGACATATTCAAGGTCATCTGTGCAGGAGCCCGGAACAAAAAGGGGAAACCACTTGCTGAGTGGAGAATTCTGGCGGAGAAAATAACTTGCCATCGTATTTCGTTTTCATCATCATAAGGGGATCAAATCTTATAGGTAGCCACTTGCGAGTGTGCCGCCAAATTAATTATGTTGCGTTCTACATAGAAACGAACTCCCAATGAAAATGATTTACTCTTTATGAGTGAACGATTATTGAACTATTAGGTAATTATAATACAGGTCATCAATGAAATTTATTTGTATAACATGTCATTTTATTAACCAAAAAATTCATTCGAGATCATTATGTTAATTTTGGCCGTTAAATAGTGACGGAAAACTATTTTTCACATGCTTTTGAGTTCAGGGATATTCTTGTCATTTTTTATTCTTAAATTTTTAATTTTTTTGAAAAAAATTATTATTATTATTATTATTTTAACAATTCTTATTCTTATATTTCCTAACTTGTATATGCTGGTAGTATAGTTTCTAAATTTCAAAAATTAATTTAAATTTTGTATTCAAATTCTAGATTATAAATTCTTTTTATAAAAAATTAGAAAAATGAAGAAGAAGAATTCGAGTTGAAATAAATATAAAAATTAATAGTTTATCGTTTTAAACCAAAAAAGAAACTAAAAAATTAGGTAAGACAAGTTGTTTCTTCTAGATTATTTAATTATTTTCAACTCGATTTATACATTTAATTATTAATTTTCACGTTTACTTTAATTTGAATTTCTCTTCTTTATGTTTTTATAAACTAGAAGTTAAATACAAATGACAAATTAATTTTTGAAATTTAATAATTACTATGATACCAACATATACAAGTTAGAAAGTAAAAAAGAAGAAGAATTGCTTTAAAAAAATAAAATATTAATATATTGAAAGAAAAATACAGAATTATGAAATCACTTCTGGACCCAAAAACATGTGAAAAATAGTTTTCCGTCATGATTTAACATTCAAAATAGCTTTCAACTAAGAGAAGTTGTTTCCCCAAGGTTATTCTGGGAGTTAAATTGTTACAGAAAGCTATTTTTCATCTGTTTTTGGGTCCGGTGAAATTTAATCAATTTATACATATATTTTTAAATATTAATATTTTAATTAATTTTTTTTTACGATTCTTCTTCTTTTTCTTCCTAACTTGTATATGTTAGTACCAGTATCATTATTAAATTTTAAAAATTAATTTATCATTTGTATTTTAACTTCTAGTTTATAAAAAAATAAAGAAGAGAAATTCAAGTTGAAGTAAACGTGAAAATTAATAATTAAATGATTAAATCGAGTTGAAAATAATTAAATAACCTAGAAGAACCAACTTGTCTTAGCTAATTCTTTTAGTTTTTCTTTTAGTTTAAAATGGTAAACAATAAATTTTCATGTTTACTTTAACTCGAATTTTTCTTCTTTATTTCTTAAATTTTATAATCTGGATGTTAAAATACAAAAGTAAAATGAATTTTTGAAATTTGGAATTCTACTACCAGTATATACAAGTTAGGAAGTATAAGAAGAAGAATTGTAAAAAAAAAAAAAATTAAATAATTTTTTCCAAAAAAAATAAAAATTTAAAAATAACAAAATGATAAAAAAATACCCTGAACCCAAAAGCATGTGAAAAATGGACTTCCGTTACTATTTAACGGTCAAAATTAACAGAATGATCTCGGATGAATTTGTTGCTTAGTAAGGTGACCTATTATACAAATAAATTTAATTGATGACCTATATTAAAATTATCTAATAGTTCATTGACCCGTTTTGAGGTTCACTCTTTATTTTATACTATCTCTGTTAAAAAAAAATAGTCCACTTTGAGTTTCAAGTTTTAAACTATTTATAGTATAAATTTAAAAACTCAATGTGAACTATTTTTTTTTTTTTTTGCCAGGTAGTACATAATGTCATAAGCTTAATAGATCAAACCTACGATTCCAACAACAATCATCTCCACAGTTGAGAATTTTACATAATCTTTTCTGCTAAGGGCCAAGTAATAAAATTTATAATACTAGAAATTAGAGGGTTATGGTTTGAGTGAAAAAGAACTCATCTATCATTAACTGAAGTAAGACATCTGAATTTTATTATTCAGCTTGGATTTTTAATTTTAGTTTAATTTGTATTAACTGATAATTTAAACGAGACAATAATTTCAGGACACAAGAAGTAAAAGTTTTCCGCCGACTATCTCATTTCTCAAGTACCAACAGTTCAGGTAGGTGAAATAGTCATCGTTGCTTACCAGTGTAACTATAATTAAACAAATGTTTACAATAATAATGATAAACCGAACCAAGAACCGGATACTAAAGGGCCAGTTTGGGCCATTCTGGTTTATCTATAAGGTTGTAATACGCAACACTCTCGTCATGCTAAGCCTAGATCCAGGCGTTTTTTAGACTGTGGCAGGCCCGTTAAATTTCATCACCCCACCCTTCACTAAATTTAAGATGGTAGTATGAAATATTAGCCACTTTTGTATGAAAAAAAATAATTCATATTAAGATTTGATATATATTACTTTTAATATAAATGTTAAAATTTAATGTGAATCAGTTTCTTTGAAAAGAGATAGTACTTTTTCCATCTCATCTCATTACAAAAACATGAAGATTCGATTGAAATGGATTGAGTAATACTATTTTTGTTTAAAGAAAATAGTCTATTTAAAAAAATTAAAATAGTACTCCAATATAGTTAAATATTAATAAAATGGCACAGAAAGAACCATTCAATTCTATTTTCTCTCCACTGATAAAGGAAGAAACACATTTGCTTTGCGTTTAGCATTTGGGCAGTAAAGATAGTGAAGGAAATGAACACGAGTTAGTTCTTTAATCTGAGAACCGGCGAAGACCTAGGCGTTTGACCATCACATGCTTGATGCATGGCAGCCAACAACATGTTCAACATCATATTATTTTGTTAATTACTCCATTATTGAGTATAATTAATTAATTTGCAGTAGCTAATTGTAGCAGCAATGAGGATGAAAGCCAAATAAAAGGACGTCTACAACCGCTAGCTAATTAAATAACGTGAGAAACAGCCTAGGTTTGTGTTATTCTATTCCTGCTTCACCACCAAGCAAAGCCACATATTCTCTCCGTTTAGGTTGCTGGATTATTAATTTGCTCATCGTTTTGGTACAAATACATGTTGGAAATAAACTAAAAATAGGTGTGAATGAGAATTTGTTTCTCATACGATTGGAAAATTAGACATGAGTGTCAAAGAGAACATGTGACCTGATCAACCACATTTTGTCATTCCAATCACTAAATGGAGAGATGTTACTTCCCATTGAATTTTGATATTCAATAGGAATGAATGTTTGGTTTAATTCAATTGAAAGGCAAAACCGTTGTAACGGTTTTAACCATCAAGTCAGTGCATTTAATTGAATTAAAAATATCTTAAGTGATATTAGGGCTCTCTTATCCTATATGTATTGCTTTATTTTCAAGAATCCTAGACTTAAGAAAAATGAACCAACTTTCTCTTTTCTTCTACTAGCCAAAATCCTCCTTACCTTCCTTGGTGTTCATCAAAGTCCTAGTTCATGTTCACTGATGATTTAGTCTAAGTGCAAGACAAGATCATGTATCTATTGTATCCTGGGAAATAGACGCTCTTACATCCTCTAGCACTCCATGAGAGGGAGCGAATCTGTTTTAAGGAAAGCGTATTTTCACGTGCCTCGGAATTTCCTCTTCTTGAATTTTTGTTGTCATTACAAATATCTCCCTATACACTTTTCTAACAATCTTAAAACAGACTCGTTTGTATTTGTGATGGCAACCATGATTGTCTTTGGATCCTTATATATATTGAATGATGATTTGCAAGGAGAGGATCGAATTCAATTTGGTTTGGAAACATGTCAAAAATGGATGTTTGTCTTTAGTCGCCGAGATCTATATCGGATTGTTTCCAATTGATGAACAGATCAACAAAACCGAATTGAAGGATATAGTGACCGACGTCGACAACCTCGTCAGAGTTTTGCTGATCGACGTAAAAGTCGACGATGCCTAACAGAATGCGAGTTGACGATCGTCGAGATCTCTGTCGACTCATCTGTACTGACAAAAAGATCGACGTAATCCGGGGCAGAAAAATATTTTTTGATGTTTTGTTTAAAAATATTGATATTTTCCTTTCTTCATGTAGGGAAATAGAAGGAGATCAAATGGTTGATCATTGAAAATTCTGGATATATGGTTGTGTTGGAAAGGTTCTACCAATTCACGATGGACATGATTTCTTTTTAAAGGTATGTTTATGGGCTCCAATTGTTTTGAGTATAATTTAAAGTCTTGATGTATGTGAATCTTCAATGATCTTGAAATTTTCACCTACTTCTGTCATTTTGGAAAAGTAATCTGTTGGTTGGTTGATGTCTGATGATTGCTCAAGACTATAGAGTGAAGTAAAATAAGTTAAAGTTTGATGAATGCTTGGATTGTATTGCATCTAAAGAGAAAATGTTTTTTTTAAAATGATTTCGACATATGTCCATTGAATTATAAAGTGGTTATCATAATAATTAGTACATGACTTATGAAATTTTGTCATGATGTTCAAAGTAATGGGTAGAATTAATTAAAAATTACTTTCTCTTGGATAAATGCTCTTAGAAACATTTTATAAAGTGTATGCTTTTAATCTTGATTGATTAGAAACCAATCATGTTCATAATGTGATCAGTGGAATTTCGGAGCATGCAAAAATGAAAAACAAATCGAGCCTGAAATGTAGCTCTTGTTGTCGGTTTTGGTGTTTTCATTTAACTTTAGAATTAACGTGTTTTTAATTTTTCCCAAGGGTGTCTACTTTATCAGCCATTATGTCCAATTGCTAATTAAAATAATACGTTATTAGCCAAGGAAAGGGAAAAAGAAAAACCGTTTGAATTGTCTTTGTGAATTAAAGATGAAAGTGAATGTTTGTATTTTATTAATTTGGTCAGATTATATATTCCATTTTCTGATCAATGAGAAACAAATTGCTGACTTGTTCCAAGGAAATATCATTTAATCTA